AGCTAATATTACCACTTACCTTAGGAAGCTGTCCTCCGCACTCCTCGACGCTAGAGATGCTCATGAGAAAGCCCAGGCGATCCGGAAGAAATACGCCGACGAAGGTCGTCGGCCGCCGCCCGACTATAAGGTAGGCGATTTGGTCTTGCTGAAGACCCAGGGTTTGAACGACACTGATCGAGGTCAAACCCCTAAGTTTAACCCTAGGCGTGACGGCCCGTATAAGATATCGAGGGTCTTGAGTGACACTACTTACCTCCTGGAGGGAGAGTCTGGAGCGAAGTTAGGGAAGTACCATGCCTCACAACTTACTCCGTTTGTTGGTCACATCCAGCCGCCTGTTAGGGAAAAGCGTAGGCGAGGTAGGCCGCGTAAGTCTTAAGCTAGTCCAGACCGCGTTGCGTCGTCTGAACTAGAGGGGGAGGTTGTAACGCGGCAACGCTATTTCATAACGTTTAATTTTAAGTTGCAAGATTTGCCTACACCAGACATGTGAAAGTAAATAAAAGCTTGCAATAATAATAAAATACGAAAATAAAAAATATATTTTTGTTGAGGGACTGACAATCAGTAAGAGTTCTTTTTTATTGAGGTTCTAAATCCGTTTTTTGCTTCTTTAGCATTTCAGAATGCCACCAGTGTCACCCTTAAAACCAATTGCGTAGAATCTTGTAACTTAGTAGATGAGTTAATCGGTAAAATTGTATCTTGTATTCAAGTAGGTACCTATTTATGTTATGTTATTGCTATTTATCTATGAAAATAAGACAAAATATGTGTTATATTATAAACACGTAAGAGTCATTTACAGTAGTAAAGTTTGAAAAAAATATTGCTGTGAAATACAGAATCACTTTCGTGGCATCAAAAAATTCAAAACGTTAAAGCTTCCAAACGAGACTCACTACTTGACTGATTTACTGAGAATACAATCTTCACATCAAGCGCTACAATTTTTGTTTACAAAAAGTTCAAATAAGTTAGAAATAAAATTCGCCACGAAGGTGACGATGAGAACCGTGGCGATGAGAAATACCCTAAAACTAACTATGAAAGACTTGTTTTTTCATCAGAAACTTGCTGATATTTAATTTCTGTGACACAGATCGTGCAATGAGTGACAGAGGCGCAAGGCGCGGCGTAGGCGCACCGTTCTACGCGCCGCCGCGGCGCAAGACCTCTGCGGAAATCATCAGCGAAGCCCGCGCTGCCATATACGGGGGTGAGCAACTCTATTTGAGGCAATTCAATAGCCCAATGGCGTCGGTCTCGGACTGCTGACTCGAGATCCGAGGAACGCCGGTTTGAACCCCGCCATTGGACTATTGTGGTGTGTGACTTTTATAGCCGACCGAAAGTTTGTTCGGCTTCCAGTTTATGAAGAATAGCTCGATACCAAATCGGTGTTATATGTGCGCATTTGAATTATTTTGAGTACATGATAAGGCTGATTTAACAACCCGACCAAACTATTAACCGAAAAAAAGTCTGTAGCCTACCTTTACATTCTATTCACTTTATTATGCAACAACTTACAGTAATCCAACAAAGACAAAACAAAAGCCATAAAGGTGAAATACAGCATTTGCGTGCTATAAAACTTGGGTGACACTTTGCAAGGTTGTCTCAAACGGCGTGGCCGATGTAACGGCTATATTTAGCAAAAGGGAAAATCGCTTATCGTGTATCGTCAATAATTGGCGCGATACGGCCCGCACCATATTCACCTGACATCGCATAAAGCTGTAGGTAAATGGTTTTCAGTCACGCGAAACCGATAGGCGGCACAACAGATAGGTAGCGGTTTTCCTTTCACATCTGACGTCATTTGCAGATAGGAGATTACTACATGCCGTTGCAAATACCAATTATTTAACTAGGCATGATAATAGTCACTTTTGATTTCAGCATACTACTTAGTTTGTGTTTGTAAAATACCTTTGTTATGGAAAGCTACCTTGACGCTTTTCAGTTTTGTTTTTACTAACGCATTGTAAAGGGAAAATCCAATGTCATGTTGTATGTAGAGTTATTTTTATTCGTTGCAAAATGGAGCAATGATCCATAGATTTGTAAAATTATCATCCTTGACTTTCGTTTCGTCGTATAAAAAATCATTTTTCATTTCCATTTTGTATTCTTCAAACGTTTACGGGCACGGCATTTTGTCCAAGAAACACTGATTATGCGAGTAAGTAATTTTCGTAAAGGTGGTCGGCGAAGGTGGTTGAACCGGGGTCATGGGATCGTACACCCGGTTGCCAGGGTGTGCCCTACACGCGATTAACCGCACTGATTTCAACTGTATAATTATGTATTCGGCATTTTAACTTAGCAACGGTAAAGTTCTGCCGCGGCGAAGTCGACGAACGTAACTCACTTTTGTGGCTGACCGTAATACTTTGGAAGTAGTTTCGTTCGTTCGTTAAGTATTTATGGAGTATTTAGGCTGGGACTGAAAGTTGGTAAATTATACTGCTGCTTTGGTTCCGGTGTTTGATTGATTGAAAATATTGTACAAATGTACAGTTATAGTAAAGAACTAAGATTTCCTTGAGTGCTTAATATTGTAGAGCTAGTATTTAAAAGTTTTCTTATGTGCTAAATTGAGGCAATCAGAGAAATAATTTTAAAAATTGCACCTGGTCACCGTCAACATGTCATTAAAAATTTGCAGAACCTCAGACAGCATCGTCGCCTAAGACATAGTTAAATCCACGCTTCACAACTGACCTAACAAAGTTTCTTTTTTATTTGGATGATTATTTATTAGGTTCACCATACCCCAGTAGTTTTAACAGATGTTTATTACTTGGAATAAAAACATTCTTACAGCAACAAACGACGTTTTATGGAGTCATTTTCCTCGTAGGTATTTGTGTGTAAAACTACTTGGCTACGACTACGGCTGTAGCGTAGCGTGGGTTTTATCCGCTAGGGCGGCGGAAATTTTCCCCGCCCCCTTATTTAGCGTTTATTCCCGATGTCCCCCACTATTTGTCCACCACTGGTGGACATCGAGAAAAAAAGTTGCAATGTCCACCAGTGGGGGACAGCGCTACTGAAATCTTCCCGTTGGGCCCTACTGGTGGACACTGATAAGAAATGAGTTGCTCTGTCCCTCAGTGGTGGACATCGAAACCAAAAAAGTTCCGTTGCCCGGTGGTATTCCAATTTGAAACACTAAAATATACATGACTTAAAATTCCGCCTAACTATAATTCAATCGTTCCGCACCTTATTCCATGGCAATGTTCAGGCGTTCGTATTAGCTTATAAAGTTTCTTTTTCGGTGTCCATGTCCGTTTATTTGAAAAGATTCACATTAACTAACTTACTTTTACGGTGTTTCAAATAAGGTAGAGTATGGTATGGTCGTCTTCGTCTCTTCTAAGTGGTAGATATCCTTTTTTTCTATGTACCTATATTTTAAAATAACGTCATTTATATTGATTCCCATGTACACTTACATCACGCTTTTTTCAGGCGTCACATGCACGTTTGCTGCACTAACTAGTACCACAGATAATAATACTAGTCTAGTACTGATCTAAAATTATGCAATAAACATCGTATTTTTTGTCTCGAAAGCATATAACGCGCGGCGCCTGAAAAAAGGGATGTGCAGAGACCCTTACTCTTGCTGTCAGTAAAACATAACTAATAATTAGACTTTTCGGATTCACCCCAGGTTTCTGTATTGCTCAAGCTAAAAATCTTAATTCCAATACCGGGCCCAAGTTAATTTATTGCTGTCCCTCAGAGATGAGCGGCGGCAGCGGGTCGGGCGGCGCGCTGCGACCGCTGCGCACGCGGCGGCCGTTCACGCCGCGTGAGCCGCAGCGCACGCTGTTTGCCGAACGCGCGCGCACGAAGGACCCGCGCCCGCCCAGCGCTTTTGAGTAAGTGCAAAGGACTACCGAACTATGTTCGCATACAGAACTATGCAATGTTCGCCTAAAGAACTATGCAAAATTAAATTAGAAGTACATGCCTTGTGGAAAACCGCAGAGTAAGCTCACGCAATCCGAATTTTGTTCGCGTTGTCGCGGAAAACTGTTGTTCGATAAAACGTTCGACATGACACGTTATCTCAGCTAATTTGTACTTTTGAAAACCTGTGAGCGATAGGTATTAAGTTAACCAAACTTTTGGGCACTTTGTCGCAAGCTACAAATACTTAGCGTAGTAATCGCGCTGCACTACTTAATAATAAGGCCGCTGCGCACGTATTCATTTTTCATCTTAGGTTTTATCAAGGTGGTTTGAACTCTAAATTGCTTTGCGTCAACTAGTTTTCAACTCATATACACGAATGTTTAAAACTATGTCTTTTGTTCAGTCTCAAGTACCTGAGCTTGTCAGAGAACACAGAAGAGATGACCACCGCTGTGCTGGGAGCCCGCATTGCCAGCCTTGACGAAGAGGGACTAAACGGGATCCTACTTACTGAACCACAGAGCAATGGCAAGAAAAAATCCACGGTGAGAACTACAGTGTACCTACCATGAGTTTACGTTAGGTGTGCTCGCTAGCGAGTACGTCAAAAATGTCTATGAAGATTTTGTTTCTTGAAAGTATTAAGTAACCGCTAGGGGCGCTGCACAATATTTATTTATTTTATTTATTTATTTATTTGAACACCAACAAGGTTACATTGAGGCTTCACAAAATATATGTCATACAATTAATGTCATTTTTTTAACACAGTCGCTAGCGAGCACACCTAACGTAAACTCATGGTAAGCACACAGAATACTTCGATAACTTCTAAATGAGATCACGATAGAACGTTATAGATTTTAAGACTCTACATTTTCCATTGAGAGAAAAGAAAGGACCTAATTAAACATCGTCTAACTAATTAAAAATGCTTATTAGCAGCTGAGGAATTTACAAGCAAAGACGATGCAGTCTGGCGATGGGTGGAGTGGTTTCACAAGACTTCCTCATCTCAGTGGGCGGGCCAAACCACTGCACCGTAGGAATACCACAGGGCATGTAAATGATGGTGAGCATTCTACTAATCTTTTTAGGCATTCTTACGATAAACCATCTTTTTATGAATGGATAGTGGATACCTATACCAAAGAATGCCTTATTCACGAAACTATCACAGCTAAGTAGCAGCGGGAAATAAGTAGAGTAGTAACAAGTAATTTTTTAGTTGCGTATATTGTAGGATACTTTTATTTCAGAATTAAAAGCGGAGACAGAATTAGCGCATGCCATTTCAGTAACACGTCCTTTAGGCGGAACTGATGGAGACCTTAATTTCGCTATGGCTCTAGACAGTAACACTTATAAATGTAAGTTCGGTAAACTACTATTAATAAATTTTACTATAACATAAAGGACATCATCCACGTTTCATATATTTTTGGTCCAAAATCAAAAGTGCCGGCCAACAAAAAAAGGTGCTGTATTCTGACAGAATACGTCTGCCTTAGCATTTGTTACTATGGCACCAAAGTCGTAGCTCCACTGTGCGTCGAGTATTTGAGATCTAAAAGTCATCGACTATTTATACATTTTTTGTTCAAAATAAAAAAAAGTACTGTATTCTGACAGAATACATCCGCCTTAGCATTTGTTACTATGGCACCAAAGCTGTAGCACCACTGTGCGTCGAGTATTTGAGATCTAAAATCCATCGACGATTCATACATTTTTTGTTCAAAATCAAAAATGTCGGCCAATAAAAAAAAGTGCTGTATTCTGAAAGAATACGTCCGCCTTAGCATTTGTTACTATGACACCAAAGCTGTAGCACCACTGTGCGTCGTAGTATTTGAGATCAAAGTCAGTCGTTTCATATATTTTTAGAACTCAAATACTACGATGCACAGTTGTGCTACAGCTTTGGTGCCATAGTAATAAATGCTAAGGCGGACGTATTCTATCAGAATACAGCACTTTTATTTTTTGGCCGGCACTTTTGATTTTGGACCAAAATGGATGATGTCCTTTGTGGGTAATTTTGCAACGTCTCTTGGTGTAGTGTCCACGACTTCTCTGTTCTCTACTTTTACATGTAAGATGTTTCAGCCCTAGGCCCTGAAAGTAACGTGAAGAGGAAACAGTTTGCCGTCAACAAATCGGTGTCTTATGACGCTAGCCATAAAGCTGACCCATTGGGCGACTTAGCCGTCAAGCATTTAGCTGTGCAGTTGCCCAATACATCGGCGACAGATCTCGAAAGGTAAAAAGTTTGTTGTACTTAGTTATCTATGACTGTTTCTTAACCTGAGGTCCGCAGACTTATTTCTGGACCATTAACAAACAATCATAAATAATTTTATTGCCATTAAAAGTCTGGAATCGATTGCAGCTTTTTTTATTTAGGGGGTCCTTAATATTGTGCTTGATTTCCTAAGGGGTCCGTGGAAAAAAAAACGGTTAAAAACGTTGATCTATGAAATAAGTACTCTCGTCTCTCGAGTGTGTATTACATTGTCTGGAATACAAATTATTCTGTTTTTTAACAGCGCCAGCGTTCTTGAACTAGCAGAAGCACTGTCCGAACGCACTCAGCCAGTAGAAAGAACAGTTCTAATCATGGAAGCCTTGCAGAACGTCCTAGAGAAGTCACCACCAGCCGGCAGTCTTAGAGAACTGGTTCTTAGGTCGTTGTACATGCACATTGATGCGGAGGACGAACGAATACTTGTAGCGATTGCACGAGCTATGCTTACAGTAAGTAGTAATAAGAAGAAGAATTGAATCGCTTCAAGGAAGACAGTTTAGAATCATTATTATCTATTGTTTGTTTCTCCAGATGCGAGTGACAGGAGCAAATCTAGCAGCAGCAAGCAAATTGGTTTTCAAAATAGCGAGAAATGATAAGAACGATCATTACTTTAGGAACACGAATTTACTTGGTAAGTTTGCTCATTTGTCATATAGTTAAGATGTTTTTATAGCTTAGGTACTATTCTATTGAGCGATAAAATAAACTAGGTCACATTACTAATGGGGTTGAAAATTGATCATAATAATAATAACTTTATAATTAATGTCACCAACGACCTTGTGCTGTATTGACGGCTTTTGATAGGAAAAATAACGATATCAGAATGCCGATAAAATCTTTAATTAAAGCGATATGTTAGCTGAGTCGAGTTTAATTTTACCTGACAATATGTGAATACTTTATTAAAGCTACAAATACACTAACTAAACGTTGAATTCTTATTTGGATCAATAAAACCCTAAAATTTTAATAACAACACGTAATACTGTATATTTGGTTTTCCTTTTTACAGTTAGGTTATGTTCATTTATGTTTCTCTTTAGAATTATTAGTCGAGGGTTGTGGCAGAGCTGATCCTCTGACAGAAGGCGAATGCTGCGTGTACGGCGCGGGAGCACTGCGCTTTCTAGCGTTAGAGCCCGGGCTTTGTGCGCTGGCGCATAAAGCTGGTGCCTTGCATTTGGCTGCTTTGCACCTGAAGATCGTGAATAATGCGGTGAGAAAAACATAATTACTTGGCGAATAATTAAACTCACTAAAAATGCTGTGCCATCTCTGATGCTTGTGATTGTGTGAAATGATGAAATCATCCAAATAAATACAATAGGGAAAGTAATTTATACGTCATGGCGTACCTATTCTATTTAACATTCCTGAATATTTTTTATTTGATGGCCTTTTTCGTATTTTGATAATAGCATTATTAATGAACAAGACAATTTTAAGAAAAATGAATTTATTTACTGAGTTTTACCAAACTTTAATTTGATGGAATCCTCTCCTTGTATCCGTTTAGAAAGCTGAAAATCCTCGGGCTGTATCTGAACAATCAACACACGCGCTGTACCAACTGACAGGTGCTCTTCGCAACCTCGCCGGAGCTGAGAAGGAGGCGCGAGCGTTTGTCGCTAGTGGCGCCCTCGCAGAGCTGATCAACGCGCTGATGTATCATACTGACAGAGATGTGCTGACTAATGTCGCCAGGTGTCTTAGGTAAAGTTGAATCCACGCGAACTTTTGACTATTTGATATCAGAAAAATTTATCGATATCAAAATGGGCCTGCTGCGGACAAAGAAACATTTGTGGCAGACTCATATTCATTAGGTGCTTACGTTTTTTTTACGTGAATAATCAATACTGAAATTAAAGACAAAAAGTCTGCGGCTAGGCTAAAAGATTTTAACATTGAGATTCTTTCAGCGTCCTCTCAGCCGAAGAGTCGTGCTGTGCGTGGCTGTGCGCTTCTCACGTTGCTGCACGAGCTTGCGTGCGCGCACTAGCGGCGTGTGCTCCCCGCGCACCATTGGCCGTGAGACTTGCGTACACGTTAGGAAACATGGCCGCTGCCGACCGCCAGGCGAGAATCAATGTAAGCTTACAAGACCTAGGACGTGCCACGATATACTTAACCATTTTACCGATTTTAGTCGATACTTTCATAGTGTAGTCATAATCTATATTAATACCACAATAAGCTTTTATCATGGCGTAAATCCTAGCTCAGCTGAACCTGTTTTATGGGTGCAGTCCTGTTAACTCCCCTGGTTGGCCCCTCTGAGGGGAACAACAGGACTGCACCGTTTTGGGTGTGGCAGAATTACAGACAGAGATTCTTTGGAAATAGTCTAAGATTCACCGCAATGTTTCCATTCCAAATTCCAATTCAGATCTACAACGAAGAAGGCAGCGTGGACGTACTACTGACGATTTTGGAGCTTTACACGAAGCGAAACGACGATCTGCGAGACCCTGATTCTGATCCTGATCTACATCTGATAGGTAACAAAAGATTTAAAAGTTAAGCCTACTTACTTACTTCATTAAATATGAAGATATTGATTGATGATTTAAATAATTTTGTAGGCACAGATTTGGGAGGATCAGATGGTTCCAACGAAGACGTTCTTATAAAGGTAAGCAATAAGGCTGAGTTGCACCAACCTACAACTGTAACTATAGCAATAACCGATGCTTTTTGTATGAAATTTGACAAATTATGACATTTGTTAAAGATAAAGTAAGATGGTGTCAGCCTAGGTAACTATTTGTTCATTCAGTCTTATCAGAATAAATACAAATGAAAAAGTTTGACATAAGAAAGGGGTGTTAGGCGATTATCCCACTGCACCGCGCTCCGCCGCAGCACGTGGGATGACAGATTTAATCATTATATGCAAGTACCTCAGTTTGTATAGAAAACACGCGCGGCACAACACACAGACAACGCGTTTGGGCACGGAATTATTAAATCTGTCGTCCCGCGCACCGCGGCGGAGCGCGGTGCAGTGGGATAATCGCCTTAAGGGACAGCAAACATCTTACTACTTCTTTATTTATTAATTGATGATAGACAGTGCGAGTGGTAGCCAACCTGTGCCTCTGCGAGCGGGCGGGTCGGGGCCTCGCGGCGGAACACGCTGAGCGCACTGTCAAAGCCTTGCTGGCTTGCCTCGAACTGGCCGAGAAACCGATGGAACAAGTGGTGAGTGACCATGACGACTTCTTCTAAGATAGCACAAATCACCACTAGATACTAAGACAGATAGGAAGATAAAGAGCCGTGTGTTTATAGCACGTCCAAAGCAGCCATTGAAACTAAGGTCGTTAGCTATCCTGAATCGGAGAAGTTAGGTCCTGTACAGGACCTCTTAAATAAGTTCTATAGAGCTTCCTTCCCATAACTACACACTACATAAACAGGTATTCTTTTTATCGCTTGGATACTCAAATTATATACCAATAATATAATTAATACAGGTTTTTTAATGCTAGAGGTTTTACAATTTCATACAGCCCCAAGAAGATGATGAAGAACGCCCCAGCTGGATAGAGCGGCGCGAGGAGCTGGCCACCGCATCTCTGGCTACCCTCAACAATATTACCTTCTACAGAGAGCCACCTGACCCGCCTGATCCTCTGGACACCTTGCTGGATCAACTTTGCAAAGGTATGTTCCAAAGGCTACTTAAAACTGGGTAGGTACTGTCCAATAAGATGTAGTTATGGGACTACATTTAAAAAAACACTACAACCCTCGATCATGTCTGATTTTGCTAACAATTTTAGTAAAATCACGACGATCGGAAAGGCGCACCGAAAGACGAAAACGAACGCCGATAAGATGTATATCCTGGAATCTTCTTTCTACTTTAATAAAGTTGTTTGTCGGGAGATTTTTCAATTAGGCGGGAATCGGAAGGACACAAAACGTCGGGAGAATCCCACCAAATCCTGACCATTGCCATCTGGCAACGTCGTGCTCCTGCTGCAGTGAAGACTTAATGACCTACTGATGATGGTGAATACAATGATGCATCATAGCATACTGTGTATCATATCAACAGTAAAATATCGGTGGAAAGCTGACTCCGGGCCCTCTGCGTTCGTATGATGCATGCTTACAGTGGATTCCTGTCAACAGTGACATGCAGACGGCTGGCGGGCTCAGGGCCCGCGGCGTGCGAGGCGGTGCGTGCCCTCGGGAATCTATCCCGCGACACGCGCTCAGCACAGCTCATCGTGCTCGAGGGCGCGCTAGACTTGCTCGTGCCATTCTTGGAGCATGGTAAGTTACACCTGAACTGAAGTAAGAATGAATAAGGAATTGATTGTAAAAGAAGAAGAGCATAGAGCATGTACTTATTTTAAATTGTCAATGAAAAAGGGGATAACTAGGAGCTCCTTCTGGCTCTCTACCTGTTCTATTTGTTCTCAGGCTAATTCCTATCGATAGTTTCTGGCTTTGCTATTTGACGAGAACAGTGCCATAAGAAACGACTGCTAATACCCTGAAATTGTTTTGATTGATTGTGCATGCACAGTCTAGAGGCTGTACAGTCGCCAGCCCAACTATCTCTATCACAACCTCCCTCAATTTAATTTTAAACCTTAAATCTCAAGGATATGATGTTTATTTAATTCACGTCGAAAATGTTAACTACATCGATGTCATTTTTTAAAGCAGTCGATATCGAATACGTTTGATATAAACTCATACTAAGCCCCCAGTAGTATGAAAAAGTCTGCTCCACCAATTCTTTCCCAGACGAAGCCAGCGTGCGTTGCGCTGCAGCAGGAGTTTTAGTCAACGTGTGCGGCGCCGGCAGCGAATGCGCGGACGCCGGCGCGCTAGCAGCACGTGCATTGGTAGCCGCAGCTGGCTGTGGC